ATTTATTCTTTTTAATACCATTCTCTTCAATAGCTCTAAATGACAGCTAAATTATTTTTGCCATGGATAAAATAAAAAATATACATGTGAAAACTAATAATTATAGCAAAACAAATAAATGATGACTCCCCAAAAATAGCTGACTCTACATCGCTGAAGAAAATCCTCAAGCTTATGAGACAGAAGTATCAAACATAAAGAAAAGTTTTGCTGCTGATCTCCTATTCAAGACATATTAAAGCATATATAATGCTTGGGTTTATATTACATAAAACAAGGTGTTTCAGCTTAATCTAACAGGGAAAAAACTCTGATTTGAATTATATGTTACACTGTTGAATTTCTTGAGGCTGTTTAAAATGTTGACTCTTGTCTGTTAAATATATATATATAAACCTATGTTGTTTATATATTATATATAACTGTGAATTTTCAATTTTATCTGCCAAGCTCTGTAACACTAACAGTCTCTCCAATGTTCTCAGGCTCTTTATGTAAATAATGGATGCCCTATAATGGCAGAAATGCAGTTAGTATGGTTAGCATTGCTACCAGCACTCTTTGTATACCCCTGCTGCAGAGTGGAGACTCAAACAACAACTTAAATTTAAAAAAAAAATTCTACATTTCATGTATCCTTAATTTCCCATTACCAAAACAAGAATAAAACTGTTTAGTTTTATAGTCATGAGTTCAGATTCAAAAATCTGCTGAAACATATATTTCTTCTTCAGTGTCTTTAAAGTAGCTGCCTTAAAAATCAGGCATACCTCTGAGGGGAAAAAATACTTTCCTAACATCTTTTGAGCTTCTAGTGTCTTTATTTTATAGACTGGAAGTAGCTATTTGTTTTCCCTCAGTAGCCACTTATTCCACTATGCATATGTTAGAAGTGTAGAAAAAGCAGTATTATAAAGTTGAGCAAGCAAGATGGATAATTTGGTTGTTTATACCTAAGGTCGGTATGACGAGGAGAATCAGGTCAAAACTGAAACTATGCTGCTCTTCTAAAAAACAACCTCTAAATGTTGTAGTTAAGGAAACATTCAGAGAGAGATCAGTCATGCCTTAATGATTAGATATTTTAAAACAGAAATACCTGAACCAGTATATAGATATGTGTTTCTGCTTTTAGTTTTTCTTTATCTGCATTTAAACAATTTATGGGTGTATAGAGGGTTTTTTTCTTGTCATAATGCATTGGCCTTGTTAGCATATGTACTTTTTTCTAATGGGAATTTTCTCATCATCCCAGCTTTTTATTACACAAAATGCTATTTTATTGGGTTTGCTATGGTTGCACAGTAGTTAGCGCACATGACCCATTGACAGAGGCCTTAGTTCTCCACGTTGCCGACCCGGGTTCGAATCTGACCTGTGGTCCTCTGCCGCATGTCTGTCGCTCTCTCGTATCCCCTTTCCTGTCAGCCTGTTTAAGAAAACAACCCACTTGTGCCATTAAAAAACAAGCTATTTTATTTTGGCTGCAGCAACAAAAAAATATATATATTTGTATGGTTAATGATGTTAAAACAATGGACCCAACATTGCAACCCTTTTTTCTTATTGGGTTGTTTTCTCTCAGCTTTTGATGTCCTCCTTTTAGTTCCCTGCCCTTTGAGCATTGATCCCAATTCTTCTTTTTCCAGGCGGACTCTTTAGGTATGAATGAACAAGAGCTCCCAAACCTTCTCAGTTTACTCAAAGGTTCCAACATAACTGTGCTGTCAGACCCAAACCCTCGTGTAGCTACTGTCCTCGATCAGATGAGGGAGGTATATCGCATCCTGAACCAGCGCTACAAGGACGCTAACTTGGATAGAAAGACCGACAGCGGGGAATGGAAGGGTAAGCCACTGACCCGTCTTCATGTCCACACTCTGGCCTTTCAGGCCATGATAGTGACCCACGGCTCCCAGTGGAAGAACACCATGTCTGCTACTGCTAAGGCCTCGCTCACAGCTAACCGTCACGTCTGCGGGTCAAATGACATTGATCTCAGGAAAGCTAGGCTCATCATGGACGACTCGTTCTCCGTTAGCCACCGTGAGGGTAGCCAGCGAATCCTTCTGCAGGAGAGTCGGCCAGTCAGCTGCTGGGATGAGGATGATTACCAGATCTGTGTGGCACCAGTGCTGGTGTGCACTGAAGTCTATCAAACTGCAGGTGGAGGGGACAACGTCTCTGCTGCTGGCTTGGTGCTACAGATTTAAACAGGGACACTGAATGCTCCTTTTGACTCTGGAAACTTGGTATAAGTGTAATGCACCCTATCCTTCAGGTACTGACATGGCAGCAAGGCTAAAGCTATTAAATCTGCACCTCTCAGCCTAAATGATAAGACAAACTCATTTTATTACTGAAGAGTCAGATCATGGATATTTTTATAGTTTACTGAGTTCTAGTTTTTAAAGGGGATGGAAAACCAAAAAGAAAAAAATGTTTAAGTGCGTTTTTCCTTTACATTCTAACCAGACTTTTAGTCAACTGTGAAAATGTAATATCTTTTCCCTTTGTTTCAGGGGAGTCCCAGTGACTCATTCTATCCTGCATCAATATTTACAAGTTATGCTTTATTTTTGTAGGAATTTATTGCTTCTATTCTGATTTGTAGCTATATAACGGAAAAAGAAAACACTTTCATTTTCTTGAAACTGATAAATCTGTTCAACCATTTGACTCTTGGGATTAGAATGGCTTGGTCTTGGATTTTTCTTTTTTCTATTAAGAAAATCAGACTTCTGGCCTGGATTAGATCCAGATAAAATCAGGTTATAGGTCTCTTTTTTTTTTTTTGCACCATTTAGCAGTTCTCATCATTTTTTTTTAAACGGAAATTTGCACAACCATCTTTTGTAGGTTCAGTTATATTTACATTTCAGCCTGGAGCGCAGCTATGCAGTTAAAATGTGATGAAAGACTCAGAAATTATTATATGTTCTGTTTCTTGACAGGATTTGAATTACAAATGCCTCACTTACCTCCTAGCAAATAATTTATTCTGTAGATGTTGCAATTTCTGAGGTAAAGCCTACCAGATTCCAATTCTGCTTCTTTCCTCTGATTTCTCTCTCTGTAAGGTAAAGTCTTACTAAAACGTTGCTGTTTCTCCCAGCAGATGTGAATATTGTGCCTCGCTGTTTTGATAGGTTTGTGTATGTACTGCAATTATTTCTGTCGTTCACTTGCAGTGAAATAATACAAAAATATTGTGGAGGGACTGCTTTTGTTTGTTGGCTATAATCTCCTCTGTATCTCTGTAAGTTTACCCTTCCATCCCCTTGTTTTTGGCTCTGCTAGGACCAAATGACCCATGTGGTTTGCACTAAACAATCTGCATGTGTCGTTATGATTATGGATGAATTGGAACAATGTCTCATCTTAAATTTTTTGTTAAAAAGGTAATTGTGATCTATACTTGAAACCAGTGCTGCACAGTATAAATGCCATTTGTACCTTGTAGCCGTGGACTATTCATAAATTCTATATTGCTTTGAAAGTCCTCATCTCCATTAAAGCAGGTTATAGCGTGCGTAACCAAGCTTTTATCATGAATATCTAAATGAATCAGCAGTGGTCTTTTCAATCTATGCTTCCTTTTATGTTTCCTGTGTTTTTGATTACTAATGCCACTGAACCTTGAAAGAAATTAAGCCAGCTCTATCTTCTCATTAGGTACAAGTCAAACATTCCAGCTGCTGCTCTTTTCTTTAAAAAAAAAGAAATATGTTTTAACCTTATTTCTTTACATATACAACAAATGAGCTATTTTTCCTTGGTAAAGTTTTCTATAGAACAGAATGTTTTTTGTTACATGTATGGGGTCAGAAATTATACAAATAAAAATTAGGTATTCAATTGGTGTAAATTCCCTTAAATATATATTTGTTTTTCCAGATCTCCAAATGAGCTCAGAGTAAATGATCTGTACTCTCTTTTTTTTTTTTTCTTTCTACTGTTTTGTAAAGTTTGGATGTTTTTCATTGAGCTTGCTTTTGTTTAATTCTGTCTGTCTGGAGTTTTTTGCCCTATAAATTTCTCTTAAACTGTGATTGGCTGTACTTTCCTGTGGATTGAAACACTGCAGCATGGAACCATGCTCACTGAGGGAACTGTGTCTTTTTTTGGTACTTATCTAAGCTTTAGATAAGTTGTATTTTGTCTTCTGCAGCTATGTCCCTGTTCATGCATGTTGAGTCATTGCAGAATCATCTGAGATAAAATAATATCTGATCAGCAACCATTGCTTCATTATCATTTTTATTTCTGTTTATTTGCATATCAGACTACATAATTGTGAAATCAAAGTTTAATTCTGGGTATAACCCTGAACTCTAGTTGTTCAAAGGCTTCTTGATCATAGCATAAAGCAGCACATGGAAAATTGCTTTCATCTTATCCTTATTTTAACAGAGACACAGCTGGAATGCTGCACCACCGTACATAATCTGAATAATTCCTTGACCATAGTCTAGCATGAAACATTGCTGTAAAAATGCCTGTTTCACTGTACTTACACACACACACACAAAAGAAACAATATATATCAAGATCTAATTGCTTAAAATCAAAAAATGGCATCACTGCTAATGAAAATGATACAAATTTGATTTCTAAGACTAAATAAACTCATTTCAAATTTAGTATACTGTATGCCTTCTAGCGGTTCCCCTTAAGCAAACACATTTTGCTGACAGGTTTTGACATTTTGAGTTAATTTAGGCATTAATAAACTGTTCCATAGGAGTGATCATAGTGATCTGCATCAGCAGTGCTGGATCTGTCTCCCTGCCAGCTCCCAGATCAGCTTCTCTGATTAACTGATGTGGTGCGTCGAGCAGCAAAGGTTACGTTTTTCCAAGTCCAGTAACTGCCACTTGCGAAGCATATACACGCCTCAGATGCTCAGAAGCTGCTGCTTCTCAGATGCGTCGAGATGCGTGTCAACCATCGAGTTTGCATGGAAACCAGCTGCTGCTGCTGCTTCAATCGCGACGTAGCATTAAGATGCTTGAGACAATTTAAAACAAACTTTTATTTGTTTAGCATTTCCTTTATACAGTATATGTTTTAAGTAGAGTGTGAGGAAACATTTTCACTGTAATACAAGCTCACATAACAATTAACTACTCAGGTTTCAAGAAGCCTTGCTATTTTTAAACCCAAACTGCCGACTCTACATTTGCTAAAATACTTCTCCTATTGCGTGAGGTCAGAAGTGAGTTTATTAATTAATTTGGGGTAATATATAAGGTTATCCTCTCGATCAGTGTGTGCAAGCATTTCTTCTATCTCTTGTTGAGTGAAAGGTTCACCTGGTTAAAAATGACACATAAAAGCTGATCAATAAAGAGTACTAAAAAAACATACTGATGTTAATTTTTTTTTTTTCACTTAAAAAAAAAACCTTTACCTTCTTCCATCAAAAGCTTTTTCAACTCTTCAGGTTTAAGGTAGCCTTTCTGGTCTTTGTCCAGAACCTAGAAACAGAGTTTATAGATTGATTGTGTTGCATGTTTGGTAGTGTGGATTCTTTACATAAAGTGTCAGCAAAAGCCACTTCAGACCAACCAAAACAGCAAAATGAAGCATGCCCAATTTCACCTTAAAAGCCTGAAGAATCGTGCTCTTGGGAATGGGAGGAAACCTAAAAGACACATGAGAGCAGAGTTTATTTTTCTGTTATCAGGCCACATGTGTAACACAGAGGCCAGACAGAGGACAGTTTGTTCTATATTCAACTTAGAATAACAACTTAGAGGATGGAAAACATGTATTTACTTAGTCATATTACAGCATCAGTGATTAAAAACACAAAAGGTCAAGCCGTATCATAAAGCACATAACATTAAATGCTTAGAATGCTAGGATAACCACAAAATTGAACCAGGTACATTTTTCTCTGAAGAGTGGAAATATTTGCTTCTTATAAAGATAAGTGCTTCAAGACCATGAAGCAAACAGGGAGGGAAGGAAGGCTTTTACATTTTGAAAATGAAGCATTTTTAACAGTTTCTAATGTTCGTATGTCAAGAGTTCATAATCATCCTTAATAAGACTAAGTGAGACAACTTGGCAAAAGAAAACACAAAGTTTAGTTAAAACCTTTTTTATTGTCAGGACTGGAAGCTTAACATCTACTTTTAGGATGGAAGTAATTAACTCATGTAAACTTTGTTAAAATTTTGACTTGTTTTCTGCCTGGATTAGACAAAAAAAAAAAAGTCAACAAAATAGCTCTGATTTTAAAATACACCTCTTCAGGACTAGCAATGTTTTATGCAGGTTTTGTGTAATAAAAGATAACACTAGACAGTTTATTCACCAGTAGGGGATAACCATTCTATGTAAAGATCTCTTACATGGGTGCATAAATAACAACAATAAAACTGTTGTAAAATAAGGAGGATCATTGCCAAGAAAACAAACCAAAACTAATCTTAAAAAAAATCTGCTTGTATTGTAGAGCCAACAAAAACCACCTTACTTGTTCTCCAACAGGACTTTGGTCATAGCTGGAAGAAACTTTTCTAGAAAAACAACCCCTGAGTGCTCCTCTTCCACCTAGGTGAACAAAATAAAAGGTACCAGGGTTTTACTCCTTAAACAACCCATAAAAGACTGATACTTTCTCATGTTATTATTTGTACATGAAAACAAGCTTATTAAATGACTGGTTTATTTACAGTATCTCTCTAAATAATCAAAATAAGACTCTTCCAACCTCAGCTATGAATTTATGAATGTCTGCTTGAGTGGGGCAGCAGCCCAGAGAATAAATAATGGTGCCAATCTCCCTGAAAGAAGCATACACATAAAGTGGGTTAAAAAAACATATTTCTGCTTAGTGCAGAACCGTACAACTTCAGCATTTGGTTTCAATTTCCTTTTATAGTTATTAAAGCAGAACAGTAATAATAAAGGTTCTCAGAGTCTAGGAAATAGATCTAAAATAAGCTATAGTCTGAATTATCTGCTTAAAAATGTCTTTCCTAATAATAAAGCCATAACTTCTCACAAGAAAAATATTTGAAATAAAACCTAAATATGCAACAATTACAGAAAATCCTACAAAAACTAGTTCCAGATTAGATGGATGCTATTTTACTGTTTTATTATAGACATAACAGTTAACAATGTTTTTTTTTTCTCCATCAATTTCCAGATTTTTGGTTGCTCAACTTTTCTTGAACAAGTTTGGGCACAGCTCTAAAACTGTAGGTATAGCCTACTTATTCACCCAGTACAGCATTAAATAGTATTTCCTAATAACTTTCTCTTATATAATGTGTGTGTATACATATATATATATATATATATATATATATATATATATATATATATATATATATATATATATATATATATATATATATATATATATATACACACACACATTTATTTGTACTATTTTACTTGCTAACGATGTAACCAAAATTGTTTCATGACGTTAAGCTTTCCTCACCGGACGTCCACCTTGTTGCTGGAATCGTAGTCAAACACTTTAAAGGCGGCAGTTATCTTTTGCTCAACAGCCGAAACGCTTTCTGAAACAACAGAGATTAGTTTAAGAAAGCCCCGGCAGGTTTATAAAGGCATAATCTAGCGTTTCTTAATACATATTAAAGCTTTTATAAAATTAAATTAGTTCATTTACTCAATTAAGTCTGACGAACCTGCACTTTTTTTAGCGTCCGCCATCTTTCAGTACGTTTGCCTGTTGCATAGCAACCACCCAGCAGGTCTCGTGAGCCAATTACTTTTTTTCGTTCTTTTCGCCAAGAATAAAATAGGAGTAGATAGGCTAATAGCCTATTGGCATATCATATCAGTTGCAGTATGGAAGAAAATTTAGCTAGAATATTTTATAAATCCCAAATACTAAAAATACTACACGCTTTAAAATCTAAATAAACTGTTAGGTTTAAGATGGATAGCCATGACCTCCAAAAAGCAGGGGCGGTACTAGATTGGGGTGGCTATGGCCACCCTAAGCCAATCATTGGCCACCCCTGTGGCAACCGCCACCACCTTTTCCTTCTAATGCAGACGATGGTAGCATTAATACTCCCCAGTGGAATATTCAAACAATTTTAATTTTTTATATATTACCACTTTCTTGACAAAAAGACACTGTGGTTAATTATGCACATAAATATACTGAAATTAAAGATAAGTACAGAATTCATGCTCTTTCATAACTAGATTTTGTGTTATATGGGGTTAAGAGGAAATTATGTGTCTCTGCAAGACATCTAGCAGTCTTCAGAGAAATCATAGATAAATAAGTATTAAATAATCAATTAATGTAAATATTTTTACTTGTGAATATCCTTTTTTTTTTTTCAGAATGATTACCGTATTTTCACGACCATAAGGCGCACCGTACTAAAAGGCGCACTCTCAGTTATGTGTCCCATTTCTGTATTTAACACACACATAAGGCGCACCGGACTATAGGGCGCGTTTTTTATATACAGGTACATGTCCTCTACTACCTTTAAATACCTCTACTGCGTATTTAAAAATACAGCGGGGGGCAAAACTGAGTATGACTGTGCTTTATTCATGTATTTATTACAAAGTATTAATCAAACCTGGCAGCTGGCCGTGAGACAGACACATCGCAGATGACACAGCGCTGTGATCACTCCTAAATTAACTTAAAATCCTGAAACCTGCCGACGGAATATGTTCGCTTTTATTACCGGTATCCTGGTGCCTGCAGTTTAAATTATTTAGATGAAAAACCCCTGCCAGCCACCGCGTGAACCCGGAGGCTGCCCAGCCTAGAGGCTGCTGATGAAAGGATTTCTACTGTCGGTGCACCGCTGGTATGTGGGGGTCTGAGCGCCTCCGACAGAAATAGATAATCTGGATGAACTGACTGCAATTATTAAGTTTTCAGGTGGACTTTCTCACTTAAAACATATTAAAACTACTTTATTCCCACTGATCACAGCAAATATAGCTGCAAGATTTAGATTATTTAGATGAAAAACACCTGCCAGCCGCCGCGGTGAAGAGGAGGAGACCCGGCCCAGAGGCTGCTGTTGAATTAAGTTTTCAGGTAGAAAAATAGAGCGGGAGCAAAACTGAGTATGATTGTGCTTTATTAATGTATTTATTACAAAGTATTAATCAAACCCATCAAAGTCATCATCCTCTGTTTCTGAATAAAACAGCTGCGCTAAATCAGACATGCCAATTTCCCCTTCTTCGCTGTCAGTCACTTTCCGTGCAGCGCAGCTCCTCAGAAATAATGCCGGCTTTTGCAAAAGCTTGAACAACAGAGCCAGCAGACATGTTAGTCCAAGCATCTGCAATCCATCCGCAAACGGTGGCGTAACTTGCCCGGCGCTGCCTTCCACTTATCCTGAAACTGTGGTCTCCGTCTGTCATCCATCGCTCCCACGCCGCTCGCAGCCTTACTTTGAACGGCCGCTTCACACCGATGTCGAGCGGTTGAAGTTCCTTTGTCAGACCCCCGGGATAACGGCGAGCACAGCGTTCATTTGATTCATCTTTTTTTCACATCGGCTGTGAGATGGGCACGCAGCGATGGTGATGCGTGGAAAAAACCACCTGGTCTCCTCACATAAACCTCCCTCAGCCACGCTTTCATCATCTCCTCATCCACCCAGCCTTTTTCATTTAATATCATATGTCATCAGAGCGCTGTGTCTGTCTCGCTGTCAGCTCCCAGATCAGCTTCTCTGATTGGTTGATGCGGCGCATCCAGCAGCAACACTTCAATTTTTCCATCTCGAGCTGCAGCAGCGCGTTGGCTGTGCGTCAGATGCTTAAACGCTCCCGACGCGCTGCGGGACCTTTTGCTGCACCTATACGCGCTTCAACCATTTACTTTGCATGTAAACTCGCTGCTTCTGCTGCACCTGCTGGGTCCGGTTCACACCGATGTCGAGCGGTTGAACAGCGAGCACAGGGTTAATTTGTTTCCCCATGTTTTTCACATCAGCTGTGAGATGGGCACGCATGGAGTTACATATTAACAGCGATGGTGATGAGTGGAAAAAAAACACCTGGTTTCCTTACATTCAGCCACTCTTTCATCATCTCCTCAATGAGGTGGTCTCAAAAGTCGCAGTTACAACACACATAGGGCGCACCGCACCATAGGGCGCACCGCACATTTTGAGGGAAAAAAAAGACGTTTAAGTGCGCCTTATAGTCGTGAAAATGCGGTATGTTTGCCCCAAAACCTGAAAGAACTATATCCACTATATATGTGTCTATTTTTTTTGGGAAAGGATAGTTTGTCTTCATTTAGAAAATATGGATGTTGTGCTCATTATTTTCCTGTTGGAACAGTGTAGTTTAACCCAGAGGTTCTGTCGCCTATCCACTTTCGGCAACCCCTCAAGGTACATTGGTTATTTCCTAGCCACCCTTATCAAAATTTTCTGGCTACGCCTCTGCCAAAAAGAACATTTTCCTTTCTTAAGCATTACCTGTTTTCATCTCTTTGTGTATCCATTTATTTAAACTGCCAAACTATATACTCTGATACAAAGCAGAGTCAGTGAGCAGCATAAAATGTGACATATTTTTTGTTTGCCCTTGGATAGATCAATTTACAGTTAAAGAGTTTGGTCAAGGTGGATACTGTGACGGTTTACACCCTGTCGTAAGCACAACCATGATGTTAAGAGGGGCATGAAACCCTTTGCATACTGATTTGAAGGAAGTAGTTCAGCTGATATTCAGCAAAATACATAAACTTTCTTTCGACATTAACATAGGCTACAGGCTAACATGCACTTTAAAAGAAGAATAATGTTAAACAGCTCAATTAGACTCCTGTAGCTCTTTGAAAATATTAATTCTTCCTAAAAAAATTGAAAATCTGTTATATTTAAAAACCTTTGTTTTTGTTGATTGGCCTCAGCTGTTTTCCATTTTGCCCCGTATCAATTTAAAAAGCCATTTCCGTTTGCTTTTCATTGGTTTCTGTCCCACAATAACACAGCAACAGAAATGTCTCATCTTTAACAAAAGGAGCAATTAATGTATATTTTTAGGATTGGAAATAAATGAACAAACAGTATATAGTATATTTAACATTCAAAGACTACCACACACATAGTAACTGGAAAATTACTTAGAATTAAAAATTAAAACACACCTAACAGGGAATAGAGAATGGAGTTAGTGGTAAACATCAGTCCAGCATCTTCTGCCACTATACACTTAATAAAATACAATGAATAGTCCTAAATCAACTATAAAGCAATGGTTTCCAATAAGCAGTAGTTGTGTTAAATGTAATACTTTAAAAGAAAACATAAAGCTGATCCTTAAAAATACCACCAATACAGGAGAAGCTGTAAGAGCAGCATAGCCCGACTTATATAAAGAAGTTGGTGTGTAATTAGTTTACATTGTTTCAGTCACATTTACTTGAGTAACTTTTTGACAAATATATACTTTGAAGTATTTTATTCCATACATTTGATTTATACTTGAGAACTATTTATATAAAAACAGGTACTTTACTTGAGTAAAGTAACTCTGCGAGTCAAACTACTGAATAACAAATAACTTTGTTTTAAACAAAAATGCTACAGACAAGGACACAAAGTTAATCTTCAGGTCAGATTGAGTTCATTTTCAGTAAATAAGCTTACTTAATATTCGGTGAACCTACCATGAAGTTTTGGAGGTTAAGCTAATATACAGTAAATAAGAAATATTGTCACTGGAGATAGATTGTTATAACATAACCTTCTATGAGGAATGGTTTTATGTTGAAAAGAAAACTTTCCTTATCCTAGATTTATTATCAAAAACATTATTTAAAATAAACAGAAATAACACATAACTTAACATTTTGATTGGTATTATTACATATTTTTAAATAATAAATTAGATACCAAGAGTTACCCACTACTTGATTAACTTTTTTTTCCCCCAAAATTCCTTTTTTTTCTTACTTTTTTCCATTTATGGATGGCTACTTTCTACTCTTACCTAAGTAAAAATATGATGAAAAATTGGTCCTTTTACTTTTTTAAATTATTTTCTGTGTATTTCTTATTTTAAGAAATCAATTTCCAAGGATTAGTCTTAGAGAGGCAGTTGTGTTTGCAGTTTGTTTTGTTGTTCTTATTAAGCAGTTGTTTGAGAGCCTTTAGTGTAGACAATATTTCATATATAGTATATACTTATAGCGTATAATGGTACTTTCTTACCAACTTCAAACTGACCACCCTTAAGTGCTTGTGCCATAAAGCAGATTATTAAGTGGACATATACCATCCATCATCCATATTCTTCCACTTAGTCCTTGTCAACGTTGATGTGGGGCCGGTGCCAATCTCCAGCAGTCTATGGGCCAGAGGTGGGGTACACCCTAGACAGGTCTTCAGTCTGTCGCAGGGCAACATAGAGACACACAACCATGCACAGACACACTCACAACAAAGGAGAATTTATAGAAGCCAATTAACCTAACAGTCAGGTTTTTGGACTATGGGAGGAAGCCAGAGTACCCAGAGAGCAACCATGCATGCAGAGGGAGAATATGCAAACTTCATGCAGAAAGACCACGGGCCAGGAACCGAACTCTGAACCTTCTTGCTACAAGGCAACATTGCTACCCACCGTGCAGCCCGGGACATATACCATTAAGAAGTTAATTATGCACAACTATATGTTGTGCATAGCACAATTTATTATTATTTAATCATGGTTTACTATATTACTTTATATGCAGAATTAAAAAAAATATAAATTGTCTATTGCTAACAAACAGCCTTTATGCTTTATTTGGACAATTTCCTTTCTTGACCACCTCTCTACTAAAAAGAGCAGCATAAAAAAAAACATAATACTACAACATATCTCAAGTGGCGGTCGGGGGGACTCAGGCCACAGATGTCCCTTATTTCTATTTATTTTTTAAATGAGAGGTTGCAACTCTTGTACCATGTAAAAGTTGTGGGAATCACTTTAATCACAGAGGTAACATGAGATGCTGTGACTATCCGAACAGGCACAGTGTATTAACAGGCATCTGTGTGTAATAGTCCAGTTTATTTTCCCATACAATATGAGCTCCTCAACAGAAACACCACATAGTTATACAAATTTATGATTTGTCTTGAGTAATTTTTAACTCAACACATTTTTCTGTGGAAGGAATATTAATAAAGATGCTTAGTGTCCTTGACCTTATTTAGATTTCTGGTTGCCCTTGATGCACAGGAACATGGTGAGCCTGCTCCTGATTTTCTACTAAAGCATTAAAATGTTCTTGAGCTTGGTGTTCTTCTGTTTGCTTTATTGAATCCTCTTGTAGGGTCATTATGTCAGGTTGCTGCTCCATAGCGATGGCGTTTGGTAGGATGTTCTCTTCTGCCATTAGCTGCTGTTCATTAGGTGTTTTGTTGTTGCTGGAGCCCTTCATGGGGGATAGTGGTAGACAAATTTAATTTAAAAACAATATAGTTAAATCTTATTTAAAACTCTATATATCAGGATGTTGCAGTCCATCAATGAAGGATTAAATGTGCAATATAAAACTGAACACAGACAAAAAGTATTAGCTATTCAATTATCTAGATTTTAATAAACTACATTAGAAGTTAAATCAAATTTTAGTTACAGGTTCAGTTTTGATATCAATTTTGTAACAAATCCACCCTACATATTTTTACTAAAGTGACGATGCTTCATCAGTAAACTGCTACTCTCATTTATCCCGTGTCATGTCCTGCAGAGCTAGGCTAAGTACAAACCAGAAGACTTCATAGGTAAGACATGGCGGAGATACCGTATAATAATAATTAACCTACAGTTAGCTGTGAAACATTATCCTTAGTATTGAATGAACTGAGGTTGTGGGTATTAAATGCACATTAGAAAAGAGGATTCTTGAATACATGGACAGTTGATTGATCGCTTGTAATTGCACTTATATTTGATTAGGATAGATACTTTGAACTTCAATAAACTTTCAATTAATATTAATCAGTACACTCAAACTAATATTAAATCATTAGACAACTCTACATTAAAATATCTAGACTCATATTATCTGCAGCCTCTCACAGGTTTTCCTTATCAATCGCACTGTATTTTTCTCCGCTCATCTTCCCATCACCTCTGACCAGTTTTTCTGTTCCTGCAAAGGCAGACACCCCAAATATTTGATGGAGCCTTTTACAACGGGAATGTAGACCAAAAGATTAGAATTTGCTCTCATCAGACCAGAGCTTCTGCCAAATGTTTGTTTTGAAGGTTACAAACGGCCAATATATCATCTCATGGATTTTGAATGATTGAATGATTTTGAGCATGAATGATTTATGGAGAGCATGACTAATAGTTGTCTTGTCAGATTATTCTTCCACCTGAGCTGTGGGTGTCTACAGCTCCTCCCGGATTATCATAGACCTCTTGGCTGCCTCTCTAACTGATGCTTTCCTCATCAGTCTAGGCAGTCTGCCATGTTTTATCATGCTCTCTCCAGTTTCAGATATTAATGACTGAACAGGTCTCTGTGAGAGCTTTAAAGCCGAGTCTGTTTTAAATTCCTCAATATATTCCTCCTTATCCCTAACCTGTTAGCTTAGATTAGATTCAACTTTATTGTCATTACACAGGTACAGGTACAAGGCAACGAAATGCAGTTTAGGTCTAACCAGAAGTGCAATAGCAGCAATAGCAGGATAAATAATTGTTCCATAAATACAGGACATGGGTTTCTACTGAATGAGTATAGAGATGAATACCATTATAAATAATGAATATAATATATAGATCACTAATGTAATGAACTAAATTTACAGCTGGATATGTACCAAATATAATATACAGGTGGATATTACTATAAAAAGGGTTTTTACAGTTATGTACAATAGCATATATACAGATGGGTTTTACAATAAAATGAACAAATAAAGTTGGACAGAAGCTATATATTTATTTATTTAGCTTTGTCCCTAATCAAAACTTCTGAGTCCTTTAGCTGGATTTATATTGAGAATAAACTACATACCGGAGTGATTTTTTTACAATGTCACTTCTGAGGACAAATGATTGCATTTTATTAAGGGGTATGAGTGCAAAAAAGGCAGACTTTATTCTATTAAAGTACCTGTGCACTAATGAGTGATGGAGAGAGTAGTTCGGAAGGGTCCAACAGGCCATCCTGGTTCAGATCCTGAGTTTGTAGTAGTAAATCTACCATCATCTCCACCTGAAACAGAAGATGACATAAAGAAAAAGGACAGTTCCTCTATCAGCTGAAAAACAAAAATATGCTGGTGATATGTGTTTAAAGATACTATGATGCCAACATATGCTTTCAATTACTTCAACTTACTTGCACATTGGTCTCAGGTTTAAGGGCATGATAGGAGTTGTAGTCTGAGAGCAGTTTCATCATCTCTAATCCGTCCAAAAACCCACTGCGGTCGTAGTCATAGAGACGAAACAGGTAGAACACCTCTGCACCAAAGCAGAGGGTAGATAGGTTAATGTCCTTTGAATCCTACTTTCCAAAGTCACAGGACTCAAACTCACTACTGAATAAGAGCTGATATTCATGTTTTTTTTTCTGCTGTTGGAGGCAGTTTGAGTTCTTGAAGTAAACCAACTAAAGGTCAGATTGAATTAATGGAAACGGCACACACAAAGCCCTCTTCTGAGATTTACAGAATCCCAAACCTAAGTTATTCCACGCTGTTATATTACTGACTTGCCAGGGCCGTCACTAGGTTTGAGAGACATGGGTGGCTTAGCCCCTAGGTAAGATATTGCGCGCGCAGAGCGCGCGCCGAAATTTTTTCAGTGCACTTTCTAAGGCGCTGTCTATAAATTCATTATTTTAAGAGCAACATACCTGGGAAACACTTCCCTCACTAATGCTACTTCACCAACTAAACTACACCAGTTAAAATGTGCTAAATTACAAAGAGTAAATGGTAGGTGCCATGCATTACTGCATAAATGGAAGAAGGCAAGTGGTTCGCCACTCATCATAATGGAAACCTTCTACAGAAGACAGTTGTCTAACCAACAGACTCCCAACATCTTCATAAACCCTTAACCTGGCCATTCATCTTTCCCCATCTCCCCTGCACCCACAACCTGTCAGGAACCCCTGTCTGCTTTGCAATAACCCTGTTTCTGTGTGTGTGCTTGGTGTGTGTGTGTGACCTGGACTTTGGCATGTCTTTCTCTACACCTGGCACAGAGAGAAACACATATATGTGAGGAACTTAACAATAAATGCAGCATTATCTTTGATAGATTTCTGCTTAATCTAAAGTTTAACCACAAAATACAAGTTGCATAAATGGACAGTAGGCAATAGGCAATAGCATCATTGCAAAGAAGGATATCCTTGAGACTTTTTCACATCAGTCTGACAAAGTTTTAATGCAAATAAAGGAAGTATTTTTAAGTACAATGTATTAATGAAAACACAAAATCAACAGTATATGAAACGTACAACTTAGAACTATAGTCAACCCAAGGAAGCACTACCATATCACACAGTGTCGCCCTATCAGACTGGTGGCACATAGATATGGGAGAATTATCCTGCCATAATGCAAGAGCACATAACTTCAATTAGAGAAAAGAATTTCATCTTCTTGCACTCAAAACTTATAATGCTCACACTCAAAACATGCGCTCTCTCTCAAATATTTTCTCTTCTCTCAAAAATCTTTGTTTCTTCTCTCAGATTTAAACAGATATTTTCTATATTATCACAGATATTTTTTCCTCTCGCTTGCCTCCATCTCCGCTCTGCACGGGTCTCAGTTACGCTCTGCTTGCGGATTTGTTTTGCTCTCTCAGACTGCAGTTGGATCGTTGCCTAGCAACCTTTCCAGCCAATAGAACGACAGCCTCGGAAAAGGTGCGCTTGTTTAACCCTACGGAGTGTGCCTGTGCTACTACGCCACTTATAAAGCGTCAGCTGAAACTGCTATTTACAGTAGTTTTGTGGCTGATTGTTGTTTAGAAATAGAAAACCTGGTTTCATTTCTTAGTTTTGCCCTGGATTTTGTAGCGTTTGTGGACGCTACGTCGCTACTTGATCAAAACAATAACGTCGCTACAGGAAAGTTACTTGATAAATAAAGCAGCGACGCTACGGTCAAGCTACTTGAAAATGTAGTTAAACTAATAGCTTCGCTACATGTAGCGGCGCTACTGCCCATCACTGCTCCTGTGACAAAACTATTATAATGATGCTAGTAGGCTACAACAACATCGTGTTTTCCCACACCACTGACTTTGTTCACCATGGTAACGTAATTCCTACTGAATCAGACAAGCTATTAGGCCTATATTGTCTCTTTCCTCACTCCAGGTAAAGTGAAGAAAATGTAAACCGCTGACATCAAATGGCAAACTCACCGTATGTATCTGCACGCAACCATAACTTTCCTAATCAAGCTCGATGACTGTGTGGAGATTCAAAGGGCGCGCTGTTGCTGCACTGCACAGCTGCTATGGTCCAGTTGATGGCCGTGTACCACGTGACGTGACGCTGGACGCGGAGCCAATGAAGGAAATGAATATCCTAACGATATTAATAATTGTATAAATAATTGTGTTTGTAAATAAACTAACAGGAACTTATCTTCAGATTAACTTGCCTTCTTGGTGGCTCGTTTTCAGTGCTTTACTGCAATTGTTTGGGGTTATATGGAAAAAAAAATAAATAAATAAAAAAATAACAATAAAAATCGCAAAATAATTATGGGGTGGCTAATACCAACGAAGGGATGACTTCAGCCACCCTAAAATAGGTCTAGCCACGTCCCTGTGACTTGCTTTTCTAGAGTTCAAGCTAAAAAGCTCAGTGTGTCATGTACTGTATTTGCTTTTGTTTTCCAGACACCCCACCCCGCCAACCCACAGCTCTACTGTTCCTTTATGAAAGGAAAGTAGCTTTAATCAAACCAGGTCCCCTTTTCTTGTTATGCACCTTTTGAACATGACAATGATCAAAAACAAACATCTAAAGTTGAAACCAAACTGATATCTACGGGGAATACTGAAGAGAATGGTGGAGCATCGCTCTCTGTCCAGCATCCAGGCTGCCATAAAGGTTTCTCTGGGTTTTTTTTTTCTTTTTTTCTTCGAACACTGGAAAAAGATGGATGGTGAAGGGTGTTGCTAACTTGTTCATTCCAGTCTTGGAGGACTTTTGTTCTTCATAAAGTTTAGAGCGCTCATACAAACTATGAAAGATTACAGGGGTTTTGTTGAGGTGTATTCATTTTTGCTTCAACTACTTAGAGTAATACTGCAGACTGTGGATACAATTTATATTACTAACATTAATTTCATGGAGTTAAACAGTTGCTCTATGAAACTCAACGTAAAAATTCATGAATCTTTTCCTGAGTTTCTTGAGATAGTGAATAAAAATATACTTTTTGAAAGGGACACACTCATATATGTATATACCTATAAAATTCCTTGGTTATTCATTCAAGTCATGTTCTCAGTGATTTATATTTTCTAAATGTTCCTATATATTTTAAGTATTACCAGTCATAGGTGCTGCCTACCTTGCTCCCAGGAACTGATCTCCAGTCCTCCTTGGCTGTTCTGCACTCTGTGCTGAATGTAGATCTGCAACAACCTGTAATTATGGACAGCTAATTGATCAGTTCACAAAAACATAACTGCTTACAACAGAAAGCCATATAATCTCTCTGCCTGTCTGTCTGCCTGTAAATAATGAAATAAAAAAAATATTCAAATAAAAATCCGCTTTATTGTCTTTTGACTCAGAACTGTGCTGATCTTTCCCAGCTTATTTATTGTTGAAACATGTACCCTGATCTTAACTGAGGTGAGTAAAGTCAGCATTCTTCCCAACATTGTAGAAATGGCTTGTTGACCCTTCATTATATAAATGTCTGTGATATAAGGGGATAAATATTGCTTTCTGAGATTTTTACTACAGGTTCCATTCAAATTATTTTGAGAAAAATACAGAGGAATTAGTTGCACTAGTTTTTCTCATCCAGTTAATGATACAAATTAACTACTTCCTAAACATTCACTCTTAAATTGATTTTCAATCAAACGTTCTTATGTGCAGGTAAAAACTATACTAAATGGCCTGTTTGAAAAGAAATCAACATACCCACATGGACAAAGTTGTTGGTACCTCTCAAAGGAAAAACAACAATGTTCACAGAAACAACTTCAATCTTACAAAAGTTGCAAAACTACATGTTGACAAGCCACGGAACTCCTAGGAGAATGTCCTGTGGACATGAAATTTCAAGACTTCCAAGGGATACTAAAGAGAAATTTGATGCCGATTTTCAAAAAGCTTCAATTTATTTCTGTCACCATTGTGGGTTTGTCTTTCTTTCATTTCCTTTCATTAAAGGTACCTACAATTTTGTCCATGATTGTCTGTGAGATTAATTTTTGATAAATAAACAAGGAAATTATGGAGGATGAAATGTAAACCATTATTTAATTAAAAAAACTAGAATAATCAGCATAGAAATTCTAAATCCATTGTTTTTCAATATGAACAAGGAAAGAGGACTTTTAAATTGCAGATAAATACTTTCTTTTGCCAAACAATAGAAATCTACTTCCAAAGGTCAACCTCTCACTAGAATGCCTTTTTGCTGACACGCCTTCTGCATATAACAGCGCACTGAATGAGTCATGTGCATGTTCATTGGTCTCTGAAAAGAAGCTGCATCATTATTATTGTTTTTTGATCTGTAAACTTGATTCCACTAAGCTCACAGAATATTTTAGTTCTCGCATTTTAATCCTGAAATTAAATTCTCTCTGTGGGTTAAAAGGAGAAAATAGGATTTTACAAAAACCTAAGATGGGAATCTATAGATAAAAGATTATGACAACATAAACTGGAGTGACTATACATGCAGTACTATCAGTGTTTGGCCTCGGCCACATCATCAGAACAGCAGAGATACCGAAGTTCAGAATGACAAGACAGTAGCTGTTTACTTCACTATAAACTGCACAAGACTGTCTATGGATGATAAAGGTTTTGAATCTTCATTTTCACTAGAGACAATGTAAAACTTCACTAATATGGATAGCAGAAAAAAGAGAACTGAATAACTCTAGTAAAACTTAGACTTAGATTTATTTTGTATACACGAGTGTAAACAAAAATACATTTCCTTAAGAACAGCTCTCTGGACAATTTCATTTTTTAAAGTGCAGCCTTGATAAGGTAAGCGTAAGTGATGAAGGTGACATCTTAAATTTTCAAGACACTAACTAAAAGCAAATTTAGGGCTCAAAGTGAGGTAGAAATGCATAATTAAGAAGCCACTCACCTGCGTTCCTCTTCTCCGGAGCCGAAGGGATTAATCAGTCCCACTGATGGGGGGTGGACATCTACTGACTCTTCTCTAACAGATAAACAGATAAAAACCCACTAAAACAGAGATCTATTGCTGAGTGTGTCTTTAGTTTTTATTCTAATAAACAGGTAACACTGCAGTTATTTCAAAAACATTTGCCCTATCTGCTCCGGTGCCTTTGTTACTTTAACATACAAAATTGATTTCTTTAAAAGGTATTCAATAATACACCTTCAGGTGACATATACCATTATTTTCTTATTGTCTGATATGAAATCAGACTAGAATTCTGTCATTTGGATCTGTTAGGATTATTGCTATTTGTTAAATGCCAGAATTATGGGAAAGATTTTTAATGAAAACATCTGAAAGTAAATTGTGGATCTTCAAAATTGTAGTAGGTCCTTGGGTACAATTGTCATATAGCTGATGTTAAACTGTTCAAGGATTATATGTGACTAATGATATTCCTCAGAAAGGAGAGGGATTTTGTCACCCAAGAGAAAGATTATTTTCGTAGAGAAATGTGAACATCAATTCCAGAGCTAAACAGAGGACAGAATGAGCAAGAAATAGTTCATTCTGATTTAATGTCAGACAATGAGAACATACATTGTATTGAAACAATCGTTTTAACCTTACAATATATTGCTTAGGAATATTTTTTGGCCTGCAAGGCCTGGCATGCAATGTGTTACCTTTGTGACCCAGGTTGCCCTGGTGCTGCCAAGGACAGGTTTATGAGAAGGTACAGAGACAAAACCCATAAGACCAGCCGGTGCAGATGAAACTCCATTAGCAGACCTGGAAATGCACCGTGATGAGATTTAGTTACAAACATACAATTTAATTTGCCCATACTGATTCTTTTTTGAAAAAAAGATAGATAAAAAAATAGGATCTACTAGACAGCACAGATGGCAATGACCACAATGTATATTTTCATAAAAGAGGCAGCTAGGGATTTACCAATATCTAATTAGGGTATCAAAATCAGGCTGTTTTGAGATTCATCAGCTTAAGCTGAAACTGAAAGTTAGGGGTTACAAATGTGTTAAATCAGTAGGGTTTAAAAATAGTCTGAATATTTACAATACTATTATAGAAATAATAGAAAAAAGTAGATTTTCAATGTTTACAGTGGGCTTCAACATACAATACACACAAACACACCAAATACACATACAAAGCTTTGTTTTCATTACATATGGGAACATTTAATTGACCTGCATTCATTTTATATTGCCTAACCCAGACCCTGGCCCTAACTCGAACTATTACCAACTTATAACTATACCTCTACAATATTAGGACCATCTGAAAGTCCTCATATGTACCTGTTAGTCCCCACATGTACAATATTTAAAAAAATACTTCCTCCACTTTGTAGGTAAAACAAGACGATCCAAACTGACAGAAGCTCACTTTACAACAGCTGGTCCCTATTGTGATAGTGAATTGGAAAAATGGTCCAATATATATATATATATATATATATATATATATATATATATATATATATATATATATATATATATATATATATATATATATATATAAAAAACACTTGTTTTATAAATCAAGTTGAAAAAATATTTGTAGCAACAGCATTGGCCAACATCCAGGGAGTATTGTGCTTTTTAATGATGTCTTTTTATATGGAGGCCCATCTCTTTATGATTTAAAAAATGCTTTCACAATTATTAAATAAAATGTTTTAATAATATAAAAAAATATATATAAATATGAGATGCACCCTAATAATTTTCACATATAGTCTTTACTATGAGGTACTGAGCATTTCCTATTTCTGGCAGAAATTAGCATCCACAATTAATGTTGTTTTTATGAAAGTGAAAGTATTTCAAAATTTAAATATTCTGATGAAAACCGGCTATTTCTGTATGATTTCTTTCATTCCTGGAAACAAAAATGATGGGCAACATTTAAATAAGCAAGTATACCGGTAAATCTGGGACTAGATCTGCACTCAGTTAGGTTTTGTTTTTGGCAGATCAATTTAAAAGACTCTACATTAGAAGTAAATTTCTACTGCATATCTGCCTCTTCTGCCCACAAAAGATTTACTTTAAAATCTGAAATATATCTTTAAATCCCTGCACCCTTTTCCTCCCACAGTCACTTCCTCTTTTTACTGCAGCATTTTCACTCCTTAACGAGACAAACTGGTTCTTGGAACATCTAAGTTCTTTCTCGGAAGGATTTTTAAGATTTTTTTTAAACAGCAAGCTTCTGATGTGCGCCTTTATTATCCTGCATATAACAATAACGCTGCATCAATGAAATCCTAAGCAGCTCTGCAGCTGACTGCGGGTTAAAACCTTCCTTTCCCTCATGCACAGAGCCTACCTGGGTGCATAGTAGAGGTGTTGACAGGACAAAGCGTTGATTTCCGCAGGTTAAAGGTTCATAGCTGGAGAACAGCTCTCCGTCCCGTACCGCCCTGGTAGTTGTGGAGAGCTGCGCCCTCCCCCAGCTCCTGTCCCGCCGCCTGCTACCGCTGCCTGGTTGGCTCAGTGACAGGCTCCACGTGGAGGAGCCCAGTCTGTCTTTATGCTCCTCCGATCACGATTTCCCCTCCAAGCCACGTCCACAGTCACATTCCTCACAGGGTGTGGGCAGACAAACCTGTCTATACTTACATCCAGAGTTACTTTTCATCTTTCACCCACAAGGGTAGTAATTATCATGCAGTGCAATTTAATCCAGCAAAAGAGACTGGATCTAATGAAGAAAAAAAAAAAATCCTATGTAGACTATAGAAGACCAAAAGTGCCATAATTCAATAAATTAACACATGGATATCTTGACGTAACTCATAAGCGTCGTTAGACCTATTTAAGGGTGGCTTCAGTCACCCTTTCTTTGGCATTAGCCACCCTATAATTATTTTGCGATTTAAAAAAAAATATTTTTTTTTCTGTATTTATTTTTTCCTCATATTTTCCCAAAACAAATGCAGTAAAGCACAGAATAAAAGCCATAAAGAAGACAAGTTAATCTGAACAATCATAGGCGTAACTTCCTTAAGGACTGGTGTGGACATGTCCCCACCAATATTTTGTACACGTATTTTGCTTTCGGTGCTGTGTATATCTGATTAAAACCCCATTCATGCCGCTCCTCAGAAAGAAAATAAAAAAAGTTCTCCCCGCTGCTCACCGTCCACAAACCCCGACAAAAAAACTCAGAAAAAAGAATCTGTTGCCTCTCGCTTTCTCCCCATCACCCCCCTCCAACCTCTCCCCATAACATTTGAATTGAAGAAATCCGCGGGTGACGGGTCGGGTTCGGTAGTCATCCTAACGGGTTCGGGCGGGTGCGGGTTGGTAAAACTCGACCCATGCAGGTCTCTAAGCTACACTACATTCAGTATCGTTGCCATAGAAACAGACAACAGCGCCAATATATCAGAATTATACTAAAACACACGCAAATAATTTCCCACATAAAAAACAGGACTTTCAGTCCATTGCAGTTTTCCGTTTTTAGAGGGTTGTTTATTTTGCGTTTATTAAGTGATGGCTGTGGTATATTAGCTTTCACTGCTATAAGCTTTCGCAGCAGTGATTGATTAATTTAAACATCTGCTCTACTGATGGTCTATCGGAGTTGGTGTTTAGGTTGAACATAAAGAACACCTTTTATTTGAAGCTTCTTGTAGCTACTGTTTTAATCCCGGCTTCACTTAAAACTTTTTCCTGACCTTGTTATATATTTGTCATAGTGTTGCCATTCAGTTGCAAGCACTGCGCCCCTTTTTCTTTTATATGTACACGTACATTTAAGATTTAGCGTGTTATGTTGACAACTCATGAGCAAGCTGCTTTTTGCAATCTAGCAGGAAGGTAAGGATAGGATCTTGCAGGTGTGACGTCACTCTGCAGGGGGTCCAAAGATAAAAGATTTAAACAATTTTGGCATTGGAATTTCAGATTTAAGGGAGTTAGAAAGTTCACTTAGTAAAAGTGCAAATAATAAATCTGATTACCGATTACTTTTAAGCTGGTTACTGCGACAGACTGGTGACCTGTCCAGGGTAATCCCACCTCTCACCCAGAACGTGGCTAGAGATATCAGCACCTCCTGATCCCACTGAGGGATAAGGTTAAAGAAAATGGATGGTTGAACATAGTCCGCTCTCCCAGATTCTATCAAATCAGTATTGATACCCTAAGGGGCGGATTTAGGAAATTTGGGGCCCTAGGCAAAGACAGGCAGGGGGCCCCCTGAGAAGTAAACCCATAAAACAGACCCATTCTACAGATAGAGAAATGTTAATAGAATAGACATCCATTATTTGTTCTAGGTTTTGTCCCTCTCTTCTTGTCCCTTTTTCCTCTCTATTTATCAGCGTTCTGATGGCATTTTTGCCAAAGTATTTTTATCAAAAACATAATTAATGTGCATAAATAAGGATTAGTTGTATTAACCATACATGGAAACAGAGTTTTATGGGGCCCCCAGAACTTGGGGCCCTAGGCAACTGCCTAGTATTGCCTAATGGTAAATCCCCCCCTGGATACCCTGCTGGTGGATGTTCTTGACAGAAAGACGGAGTTGCTTAATCATATTCTGCTTAAGGTCCTGGTTTAAAAGTAAATTAATTTTAAAAAGTGACCCAAAATTGACTGTCAATAAATGTTCTACAAAATTGATATATTTATTTGATTTCTTTGATTTGTACTGTCTGTTTAGATTTATGTGATATTTTTTGCACAAAATATATAAGTGAATATTGTAACAGTTATGTTTTCAACTGTAAGCATTAAATTGATAAATGTTATTCGCATTTTTTTGGCTTTATCCTTTCCAACAAAAAAAAAAGGCGTCGCGCAGGTAGCTCCCTTTCCTTATGAGCCGTCCCCACCAACTTTCAACACAAAGTTACACCCTTGTCTTAGACAACGCCTTAGCAGGTGCACTGAAAAAATTATCTTCTAGGGGCTGAGCCACCCTTGTCTCTTAAACCTAGAGACGCCCCTGACGTAACTATTCATTTTTAGCTTTGTCTCACTTTCAAATAACCAAAATTTAATATCAAAGAAGTAGCAAAGAAGCAGAGGTGTACTGTACTTATGTATGCTTTTTAGGTATCTATACTTTACTAGTTATTTTTCTTGCTACTTCTGACATCTACTCATTACATTTTCAAACAAGTATCTGTACTTTCTATTCCTTATATATTTAAAACAAACATTACTTGTTACTCTTGTCTTTGGTTTTATGTTTATAAATATTTAGTCATGTGCGCCATCCAATGCAGATCATTGGCGCCATCCACATCTAGTGAAAACTACTGTAATTGGATGAGTCATTAGATTAGATTAGATTCAACTTTATTGTCATTACACAGGTACAGGTACAAGGCAACGAAATGCAGTTTAGGTCTAACCAGAAGTGCAATAGCAGCAAGTGCAGGATAAATAATGATTCCATAAGTACAGGACATGGGTTTCTACTGAATAAATATAGAGATGAATACCATTATAAACAGAATTTTACTGATAGATTTGTCTTATGAATATAATATATAGATAATTAGTGTTATGAATTAAATTTACAGCTGGATATCGCGAATATAATATACAAGTGGATATTATTATATATCATCATATAAAGCAAACATGAATTGTCTATGCCATGCTACTATGTTGGATTCAGAAAAATATGCCGAAATGTTGGAAAGGTCGGACACAGGCGAAAGCGTATCGGGAGATGGAGACTAACAAGTCCTCCCTCATCCTTGGCCCTATCTCAAAGAATTTTTCGAAATAGTCTAAACATTGAGCTTTTAATTCATATAGTGGCATCTGGCTGTTTTCTTTAGGTTACTTTATACTTTAAGTAGTTTTTGGAGCACATACTTTTTCATTTTTACTTGAGTAAAGAGGTCAAGCTGGTACTTCAACTTTTACTAGAGTGTTTTTAAGCTGCAGTATATACTTCTACTTTAGAAACAAATGTGGGTAATTTTGACACTACTGCTAAGAAGAAGCATGGGCAGCTCTAGATAGGGGCCAGTCTACCTGTAGAATTGCTCCAGGCCCTGTTATGGCCCCTGTACTGAAGACATCATACTGAATATATTTTTTATGCTTATATTCACTGGAAAATAAACTTTCATCTATTGGTCTCTTGGATTTATTTAATTTTTTTATCTTTGCATTTTTATTACAAAAATTATTTAAAAATGAAGGTTTCAATCCTATTGAGATAAAACGACCGTTTAATGTTTTATGACTGATAACCAATCTTTAAAAAGTGTGACATGGCTTTAATTTTGACCAATACCAATATCTTTTTTAGAACAGTTGTTATAAGTTCACAATAAACCTCGAATCTTACAATATAAAATAAAATACAATTAAATAGAAAAGCATAGAATAGAATAGAAAATCCCTTTATTGTCCCACAATGGGCATATTGTGGTGTTTACAGCAGCAAAAGGTTATAGTACAAGTGGTCACACCTTAGAAAAATGTATAAAAATAACAGATAGGAAAACAAAACAAATAGAGTATTGTACTGCACAGTGTTTTTACAATATGAATGTATCATATTTGTATCTGGAGAATAAACAATGAATAACAGTTGTGGACATTTCTATGGTAATGGATATGTAAAAAAAAAAATAGCAACAACACCAGAGATTTGCAAAAAATGACAGCAGGATGTTATTTAATTGACTAAGACACAAACTGTGCAAAATCAGCATGAATGTAACAACTTATTGAGGTTGTTGGGAACAGTGGTCTTTATAGAGTCTTACAGCTGCTGGGAGGAAGGATCTGTAATAACGCTCCCTTGTTGTATTTAGGGTGCAGCAGTCTGTCATTGAAGCAGCTCTCCAGTTCTGCAACAGCTTCATGCATGGGTTGGGAAACATTATTCAACAGAGATGTTAATTTAGTTATACATTTTTTCCCACCTCCTGCAATGAGTGCAGTCTGGTATCCAATCACAGAACTGGCCTTCCTGATCAGGTTATCCAGCCACTTTCTCTCAGCTACAGATAATTCAATTCTGTTTATTTATATAGTGCCAATTCACAACACATGTCATCTCAAGGCACTTTACAGTTCACCAGATCATACAGCCAAATTGGTTCAAAGTTTTCTATCTAAGGAAAACCAGTTGATTGCTTAGACACAAAGGCAATTCCTCACACTAAGCATGCTTGTAGCAACAGGAATAAACTACCAGCAGAACCAGGCTAAGTGTGAGCCGCCATCAGCCGAGGCCGACTGGGGTTCAAAGAGACAGAAGCAGAGATACAAAAGGCAACTGTCAAAGGTGACCCCGTCCAGGAAACACACATCCAGGCAGACGAGCTCCAAGCCAGCTCCAATGTCAGAGGCTGAAGAGAGCACATCCAGCCAGTCACAGTTAGGCAAACAGGACTACACTGAAAAACAGGCAGAGCTCCAACATCTATAAACAAAGGCATTGATGGAAGCAGCACAGCTGATATTTCTCTCCAGGATGGTGTCACAGCCAAACAGGAACAGTAACGTTAGAGATTGAACTTACAGATTCTGCAGAGTGGGAGAATAGAGATAGAATGAAGCAGAATGATGAAAAAGGGGTCCCTATGTCCTCTAGCAGCCTAAGCCTATGTCAGCATTA